GTCACTGACATTAACACAGTATATCCACCAGCTAGTCACTGACATTAACACAGTATATCCACTAGCTAGTCACTGACATTAACACAGTATATCCACCAGCTAGTCACTGACATTAACACAGTATATCCACTAGCTAGTCACTGATATTAACACAGTATATCCACCAGCTAGTCACTGACATTAACACAGTATATCCATCAGCTAGTCACTGACATTAACACAGTATATCCACCAGCTAGTCACTGACATCAACACAGTATATCCACCAGCTAGTCACTGACATTAACACAGAATATCCATCAGCTAGTCACTGACATTAACACAGTATATCCACCAGCTGGTCACTGACATTGACACAGTATATCTGTTGGTAAGTCACCGATTTTAACACAATATCAACAATCCAAAAGCAAATCACTGATATCAATGATATATCTACGAGTCAGTCACTGATGACAATATATCCACCAGCAATCCATGGTATCAACAATATATCCACCAGCAATCCATGGTATCAACCATATATCCACCAGCAATCCATGGTATCAACCATATATCCACCAGCAATCCATGGTATCAACAATATATCCACCAGCAATCCATGGTATCAACCATATATCCACCAGCAATCACTGGTGTATCTACAGAATGCTGACTGTTCTGTCCAGATTCCTCCAGATAAGTTCCTGTGGCAGTACCGTACTGCACTGTGAACAATAGAACACACATCAATGATCAATATGTCTCTGTGATCTAAGTGTCACATCTGTGACTGTGTGATCTGTGCCAGGTGGAAGACAGGAAGAGCCTCCACTACAGCTAGGAGTGCCAGTGTGTGAGTTGTCCATGAGGCAACTGGCAACTTTCTACACCAGAATATACAGTGTGTGGGTTGTCTGTCTGATTCACCAGCACATGGAGCTGCCCAGCTCGGATTACACATATTGCACAAGCATCTGTCCAACTGTTAACAGATCATCAGCACACAGCAGTGCTCTACACAGAGAACACTCCACACACAGGAGGTAGTGCAGGTGTAATAGAATACTAACGTTATACACACCAGTAATACATCCTCTACATGGAAAATACCAACTTTATACACACCAGCAATATGTCCTCTACATAGAGAATACCACCACTGTATGTACACCAGCAATACATCCTCTACATGGAAAATACCAACTTTATACACACCAGCAATATGTCCCCTAAGTGGAGAATACAAATGTTATACACACTATTAATACGTCCTCTACATGGAGAATACCACCACTGTATGTACACCAGCAATATGTCCCCTATGGAGAATAGAATACCACCTACATGTATGTACACTGTATGTACACCAAATATGTCCTCTACATGGAGAATACCACCACTGTATGTACACCAGCAATATGTCCTCTACATGGAGAATACCACCACTGTATGTACACCAGCAATATGTCCTCTACATGGAGAATACCACCACTGTATGTACACCAGCAATATGTCCTCTACATGGAGAATACCACCACTGTATGTACACCAGCAATATGTCCTCTACATGGAGAATACCACCACTGTATGTACACCAGCAATATGTCCCTCTACATGGAGAATACCACCACTGTATGTACACCAGCAATATGTCCTCTACATGGAGAATACCACCACTGTATGTACACCAGCAATATGTCCTCTACATGGAGAATACCACCACTGTATGTACACCAGCAATATGTCCTCTACATGGAGAATACCACCACTGTATGTACACCAGCAATATGTCCTCTACATGGAGAATACCACCACTGTATGTACACCAGCAATATGTCCTCTACATGGAGAATACCACCACTGTATGTACACCAGCAATATGTCCTCTACATGGAGAATACCACCACTGTATGTACACCAGCAATATGTCCTCTACATGGAGAATACCACCACTGTATGTACACCAGCAATATGTCCTCTACATGGAGAATACCACCACTGTATGTACACCAGCAATATGTCCTCTACATGGAGAATACCACCACTGTATGTACACCAGCAATATGTCCTCTACATGGAGAATACCACCACTGTATGTACACCAGCAATATGTCCTCTACATGGAGAATAAAACCTACCACCACTGTATGTACACCAGCAATACATGTCCTCTACATGGAGAATACCACCACTGTATGTACACCAGCAATATGTCCTCTACATGGAGAATACCACCACTGTATGTACACCAGCAATACGTCCTCTACATAGAGAATACCACCACTGTATGTACACCAGCAATATGTCCTCTACATGGAGAATACCACCACTGTATGTACACCAGCAATATGTCCTCTACATGGAGAATACCACCACTGTATGTACACCAGCAATATGTCCTCTACATGGAGAATACCACCGCTGTATGTACACCAGCAATACGTCCTCTACATGGAGAATACCACCACTGTATGTACACCAGCAATACGTCCTCTACATGTGAGAAAGCCAACTTTTTGCAGGACATTATTGGGATCATGAAGGTGATTACTGGGATCACGAAGGTGATTACTGGGACCAGGAAGGTGATTACTGGGATCACGAAGGTGATTACTGGGACCAGGAAGGTGATTACTGGGATCACGAAGGTGATTACTGGGACCAGGAAGGTGATTACTGGGACCAGGAAGGTGATTACTGGGACCAGGAAGGTGATTACTGGGACCAGGAAGGTGATTACTGGGACCAGGAAGGTGATTACTGGGACCAGGAAGGTGATTACTGGGACCACGAAGGTGATTACTGGGACCACGAAGGTGATTGCTGGGACCACGAAGGTGATTGCTGGGACCAGGAAGGTGATTACTGGGACCACGAAGGTGATTACTGGGTCCACGAAGGTGATTGCTGGGACCACGAAGGTGATTACTGGGACCACGAAGGTGATTACTGGGACCACGAAGGGGATTACTGGGACCATGAAGGTGATTACTGGGACCACGAAGGTGATTACTGGGACCAGGAAGGTGATTACTGGGACCAGGAAGGTGATTACTGGGACCATGAAGGTCCTGTGTGGTGTCCTGGAGGACTCTATATATTTCGGGTCAATACTTCAGCACCTTGAAGATCAGGATGCAACCTTCAGGATAATATATAGTTTTTTTCACTTGAATTCCATTACAGTGCATACCGTACACACATTTCAGCATCACAAATAAACCCTATCGCACACAATGTGCACTAATGGAAATATCCATGTTTTCTCAAGGTCAGATGTCAAACAATAGGTCAAGGGCCCAACCATACCTGGCTGTTTCTCAAGGTATGATGTCATCAAAATAGGTGAAGGACCCAACCATACCTGGCTGTTTTTCAAGGTATGATGTCATCAAAATAAGTCAAGGACCCAACCATACCTGGCTGTTTTTCAAGGTACGTCATAAAAATTGGTCAAGGACCCAACCATACCTGGCTGTTTTTCAAGGTACGTCATAAAAATTGGTTAAGGACCCAACCATACCTGGCTGTTGCTCATGGCAAGGCTTGAGAGGTTAACCTATTTGCACCAGGTGTAACCTGAGGTAAAAACCTAGTTGCACGAGCCAAAATCCAATTGCAATGTAGTGTGTTAAAACGTCAGAGGTTTCGGTGCACATAAACATATTTCCATGATGTAGTACCCATGAAACCATAGCAACACAGAGACTCAGATGATCCCTGTTTACAAGAGCTGTCATAGCTGAAGCGTGTATATGAACAGCAATATTTCAGTGCCATCGCTATTCAAAGTTTAGAAGAAAACTGAGCTGACATATTTATGCTGATCATGTTAGATTTATTGTTGATTTATTTCTCAAAACTTGACTTCCACCTTGTGCAAGTTGAGACTCATAACTAGGTAAGGAACAGAGCACTAAATTGAGACCTGCAAGGTGAAATGTCATAAAAAAGGTCAAAAACCAAACAACGCCTGTCAGCTTCTCAAGGTCAGAGAGAGTGAGTTAGTGTCATCATTGCCATTGAACAGTATTTCAATCACTAGAGTGACAATAAGTTTAAAACAATATTCGCAGCAAAACATGCACATTCCCAATCTAATGTACCACCCTCCCCTCTGTGGAGTTAGAGCTGACAGAAAGGCTGTACTTGACCCCTCCACACCCTAGTATTCCTGTACTCACCCCCTCCACACCCTAGAGTTGCTGTACTCACCCCCTCCACATCCTAGTGTTCCTGTACTCACCCCCTCTACACCCTAGTGATGCTGTACTCACCCCCTCCACACCCTAGTATTGCTGTACTCACCCATCTACATCCTAGTGATGCTGTTCTCACCCCCTCCACACAATAGTGATGCTGTACTCACCCCCTCCACACCCTAGTGATGCTGTACTCACCCCTCCACACCCCTAGTGATGCTGTACTCACCCCCTCCACACCCTAGTGATGCTGTACTCACCCCTCCACACACCCTAGTGATGCTGTACTCACCCCATCCACACCCTAGTGTGTTGGCGCCTGCCTCACTCCACTGCTGTGCTCACCCATCCACATCCCTAGTGATGCTGTTCTCCACCCCCTCCACACCCTAGTGTTGCTGTACTCACCCCCTCCACACCCTAGTGTTGCTGTCTCACCCCTCCACACCCTAGTGTGTGTTGCTGCTGTACTTATCCAAACCTTAGTGTTGCTGTACTCACCCCTCCACACCCTAGTGATGCTATACTCACCCCCTCTACACAATAGTGATGCTGTACTCACCCCTCCACACCCTAGTGTTGCTGTACTCACCCCCTCCACACCCTAGTGATGCTGTACTCACCCCCTCCACACCCCATGTTGCTGTACTCACCCCCTAGGTTGGTGCTGATGCTGGCGCCTGCCTCACCCCTCCACATCCTAGTGATGCTGTACTCACCCCCTCCACACCCCATGTTGCTGTACTCACCCCCTAGGTTGGTGCTGATGCTGGCGCCTGCCTCACCCCCTCCACACCCTAGTGATGCTGTACTCACCCCCCAGGTTGGTGCTGATGCTGGCGCCTGCCTCACAGGGCTCCTCCCCCTCCTGGTACTCGCACTCACTGTCCTGCATGGCCAGCTGGATGTGGGAGAGGACATCCTTCATGTTGGATGCCTCATTCTCCAGCTTCGTCAGGTGACTCGAGTTGTCCTGCAGCTCTCGTCTCAGATGGGAGTTCTCGGACTTCAGACATTCCACCTGCTTCAGCAGCTCGTCATACGACGACAGTGACATGACGGCGGAGATATGACCTCGTATCACATGCTGAAATACACAGATATACCATACTGTCAGTCTAACATGGTGGAGATATGACCTCGTATCACATGCTGAAATACACAGATATCAAACACTGTCAGTCTAACATGGTGGAGATATGACCTCGTATCACATGCTGTAAAACATAGCTATCAAACACTGTCAGTCTAACATGGTGGAGATATGACCTCATATCACATGCTGAAATACACAGATATCAAACACTGTCAGTCTAACATGGTGGAGATATGACATCGTATCACATGCTGTAATACATAGCTATCAAACACTGTCAGTCTAACATGGTGGAGATATGACATCGTATCACATGCTGAAATACACAGATATCAAACACTGTCAGTTTAACATGGTGGAGATATGACATCGTATCACATGCTGTAATACATAGCTATCAAACACTGTCAGTCTAACATGGTGGAGATATGACCTCGTATCACATGCTGAAATACACAGATATCAAACACTGTCAGTCTAACATGGTGGAGATATGACCTCGTATCACATGCTGAAATGTACAGATATCAAACACTGTCAGTCTAACATGGTGGAGATATGACATCGTATCACATGCTGTAATACATAGCTATCAAACACTGTCAGTCGAACATGGTGGAGATATGACCTCGTATCACATGCTGAAATACACAGATATCAAACACTGTCAGTCTAACATGGTGGAGATATGACCTCGTATCACATGCTGTAAAACATAGCTATCAAACACTGTCAGTCTAACATGGTGGAGATATGACCTCATATCACATGCTGAAATACACAGATATCAAACACTGTCAGTCCAACATGGTGGAGATATGACCTCGTATCACATGCTGTAATACATAGCTATCAAACACTGTCAGTCTAACATGGTGGAGATATGACCTCATATCACATGCTGAAATACACAGATATCAAACACTGTCAGTCCAACATGGTGGAGATATGACCTCGTATCACATGCTGTAATACATAGCTATCAAACACTGTCAGTCCAACATCGTGGAGATATGACCTCGCAGATACACCACACTGTAATTTGATTTCGGATTATCTCATACATTGCAATACATTTTCCTGAACATTAAGAATTTACTGCCACAGAATCAATTTGCAAACATTATTTTGGGGAAGATATGTATGGGGATAGGTTCTTGTGTATTATCAGCTGGACTAAGGGCCAGGTTCATGTGTATCATCAGCTGGACTAAGGGCCAGGTTCTTGTGTATCATCAGCTGGACTAAGGGCCAGGTTCATGTGTATCATCAGCTGGACTAAGGGCCAGGTTCTTGTGTATTATCAGCTGGACTAAGGGCCAGGTTCATGTGTATCATCAGCTGGACTGAGGGCCAGGTTCTTGTGTATTATCAGCTGGACTAAGGGCTGGGTTCATGTGTATTATCAGCTGGACTAAGGGCCAGGTTCATGTGTATCATCAACTGGACTAAGGGCCAGGTTCATGTGTATCATCAGCTGGACTAAGGGCCAGGTTCATGTGTATCATCAGCTGGACTAAGGGCCAGGTTCATGGGTATCATCAGCTGGACTAAGGGCCAGGTTCATGTGTATCATCAGCTGGACTAAGAGACCAGGTTCATGGGTATCATCAGCTGGACTAAGGGCCGGGTTCATGTGTATCATCAGCTGGACTAAGAACCAGGTTCATGGGTATCATCAGCTGGACTAAGGGCCAGGTTCACGTGTCTCATCAACTGGACTTAGGGCCAGGTTCATGTGTATCATCAGCTGGACTAAGGGCCGGGTTCATGTGTATCATCAGCTGGACTATGGGCTTGGTTCATGGGTATCATCAGCAGGACTAAGGGCTGGGTTCATGGGTATCATCAGCTGGACTAAGGGCCAGGTTCATGTGTATCATCAACTGGACTAAGGGCCAGGTTCATGTGTATCATCAGCTGGACTAAGGGCCGGTTCATGTGTATCATCAGCTGGACTAAGAACCAGGTTCATGGGTATCATCAGCTGGACTAAGGGCCGGGTTCATGTGTATCATCAGCTGGACTAAGAACCAGGTTCATGGGTATCATCAGCTGGACTAAGGGCCGGGTTCATGTGTATCATCAGCTGGACTAAGAACCAGGTTCATGGGTATCATCAGCTGGACTAAGGGCCAGGTTCACGTGTCTCATCAGCTGGACTTAGGGCCAGGTTCATGTGTATCATCAGCTGGACTAAGGGCCGGGTTCATGTGTATCATCAGCTGGACTATGGGCTTGGTTCATGGGTATCATCAGCAGGACTAAGGGCTGGGTTCATGGGTATCATCAGCTGGACTAAGGGCCAGGTTCATGTGTATCATCAGCTGGACTATGGGCTTGGTTCATGGGTATCATCAGCTGGACTAAGGGCCGGGTTCATGTGTATCATCAGCTGGACTATGGGCTTGGTTCATGGGTATCATCAGCAGGACTAAGGGCTGGGTTCATGGGTATCATCAGCAGGACTAAGGGCCAGGTTCATGTGTATCATCAGCTGGACTAAGGGCAGGGTTCATGTGTATCATCAGCTGGACTAAGGGCTGGGTTCATGGGTATCATCAGCAGGACTAAGGGCCAGGTTCATGTGTATCATCAGCTGGACTAAGGGCAGGGTTCATGTGTATCATCAGCTGGACTAAGGGCTGGGTTCATGGGTATCATCAGCTGGACTAAGGGCTGGGTTCATGGGTATCATCAGCTGGACTAAGGGCTTGGTTCATGTGTACCATCAGCTGGACTAAGGGCTGGGTTCATGTGTATCTCAGCTGGACTAAGGGCCAGGTTCATGTGTATCATCAGCTGGACTATGGGCTTGGTTCATGGGTATCATCAGCTGGACTAAGGGCTGGGTTCATGTGTATCTCAGCTGGACTAAGGGCAGGGTTCATGTGTATCATCAGCTGGACTAAGGGCCAGGTTCATGTGTATCATCAGCTGGACTAAGGGCCAGGTTCATGTGTATCATCAGCTGGACTATGGGCTTGGTTCATGTGTATCATCAGCTGAACTAAGGGCCAGGTTCATGTGTATCATCAGCTGAACTAAGGGCCAGGTTCATGTGTATCATCAGCTGGACTAAGGGCCAGGTTCATGTGTATCATCAGCTGGACTAAGGGCCAGGTTCATGTGTATCATCAGCTGTATTGAGGGCCAGGTTCATGTGTATCATCAGCTGGACTAAGGGCCGGGTTCATGTGTATCATCAGCTGGACTAAGGGCCGGGTTCATGTGTATCATCAGCTGGACTAAGGGCCAGGTTCATGTGTATCATCAGCTGGACTAAGGGCCAGGTTCATGTGTATCATCAGCTGGACTAAGGGCCAGGTTCATGTGTATCATCAGCTGGACTAAGGGCCTTTTATCTACACTGATATACAAATAATTCATGTTATTATTTTGGGGAATCAAGGTATGTTGTGACAGGTTTGAGTGAATATGTTGATACTGATCAATCCAATGAAGGGCAACTATGACCCTCCATCAAGCAGTGAGTCAGCTCTTATGAATCTTGTGGTCCAAGGTAATTACTCTGTCAAGTCACCAAGTCCTGCTGGTAGTGGACATGTCAGGCCAGCCACCAGCCAATCACAGGGAGCGTTACAGACAGCTGGCCAATCAGAGTTGGTGAAGGTGGGATGGAGAGATAAGATGAAGGTGTTCTGACTGACAGTGTTATTCCCTTGGGTGCAGGGTGTGAAATGAACAATTTGACTCTCTGATGAAGAAACAGTGTGAGCTGATGCAGCAAGTGGGGGGCCATCTCAACAGCTGCAGCAACAAGTGGGGACCATCTCAACAGATGCAGCAACAAGTGGGGGACCATCTCAACAGCTGCTGGAACAAGTGCGGACCATCTCAACAGATGCAGCCAAAAGTGGGGACATACTCAACAGATGCAGCAACAAGAGGGGACCTATTCAACAGCTGCTGTTACAAGGGGAGGGGGGGGGGAGCAATCTTAGCAGCTACAACAAGAAGTGAGGGACCATCTCAACAGCTGTTGCAACATGTGGGGTACATTGCATTGAGTCATGTACCACCTTAACTAGTGAGTGAGTGGGCATTGTTTTACGCTGCTTTTAGCAATATTCCAGCAATATCATAGCAGGGGGCACCAGAAATGGGCTTCACACATTGTGGGGAATTGAACCCTCGTCTTTGGTGTGATGAGCGAACAGTTTAACACTAGGCTCCATCATGTCATTATCACAAAAAATGTGCAAACGTCATTGGTGAAAATGTAGTTTTGAGATGCCCCCCATAGTCTGGCTGAGATGTACAGGTCATCTGATGGACGGCCTGGCACCGGAAGGCTCATTCATCACAGGAATTCAACATTCATTTATACAGGGTAAAAACTCAAGTGAAATCTGTCAGTTTGGTTCACCATGGTCACTAGACATCAGTTCCGGTCTGATAATTCCAGGAATATAACGATTCTTTAAAACAAATACAACTGTTGAAAGGTCTGTGTTATACTGCATAACATTGTGTGAATCTGTAACTGTACACCATCGTGTAGATCTGTGTTATACTGCATAACATTGTGTGAATCTGTAACTGTACACCATCGTGTAGATCTGTGTTATACTGCATAACATTGTGTGAATCTGTAACTGTACACCATTGTGTAGGTCTGTGTTATACTGCATAACATTGTGTGAATCTGTAACTGTACACCATCGTGTAGATCTGTCTTATACTGCGTAACATTGTGTGAATCTGTAACTGTACACCATCGTGTAGATCTGTGTTATACTGCATAACATTGTGTGAATCTGTAACTGTACACCATCGTGTAGATCTGTGTTATACTGCATAACATTGTGTGAATCTGTAACTGTACACCATCGTGTAGGTCTGTCTTATACTGCATAACATTGTGTGAATCTGTAACTGTACACCATCGTGTAGGTCTGTCTTATACTGCGTAACATTGTGTGAATCTGTAACTGTACACCATCGTGTAGGTCTGTGTTATACTGCGT